TAAATTTTTTTTTGAAATTCAGGCATATCAGGGGTTGTCAAAAGTCCATGAGAAAGATGCATTACATGGGCCCGGCGACGTGGCCGAGCACCATGGCCTAGTGGCTAAAGTCCTCGCCTTGAACGCACCCCAGGATCCCATATGGGCGCCGGTTCTAATCCCGGCAGCACCATTTCCCATCCAACTCCCTGCCTGTGGCCTGGGAAAGCAGTTGAGGATGGCCCAAACCTTTGGGACCCTGCACCCATGTGGGAGACCCAGAAGAGGTTCCTGGATCCCTGCTTCGGATTGGTGAAGCACTGGCCGTTGCACTGGCCATTGTGGTCACTTAGGGTCATCGGACGGAAGATCTTCCTCTCTGTCTCTCCTCCTCTCTGTATATCTGACTTTGTAATAAACATAAATAAATCTTTAAAAAATGCATTACATGGGCCCAGCGCAGTGGCGCAAGTGGTTAAAGGTCCTCGCCTTGCACGCCCGGGATCCCATATGGGCGCCGGTTCTAATCCCGGCAGCCCCGCTTCCCTTCTAGCTCCCTGCCTGTGGCCCGGGAAAGCAGTCGAGGACGGCCCAAAGGTTTGGGCCCCTGCACCCGTGTGGGAGACCCGGAAGAGGCTCCTGGCTTCAGATTGGCATAGTATCGGCCGTTGCGCTCACTTGGGGAGTGAATCATCAGACGGAAGATCTTCCTCTCTGTCTCTCCTCTCTGTATATCTGCCTTTCCAATAAAAAAAATAATAAAAATAAATCTTTAAAAAAAATGCATTACAAAAGAACTGAAGGGATTTCAAAATTTTTGTACCAAAACAAATAACTTTTAAGTCCATATTCCAGATTTTTTCTGTACCTTCATGTGTGTATGCAAGCACATACCTCAGAAAACCTAGCTTTTTAAAACCAAGATATAAATTAAAAACTGAGAATTCTATTTGGTATGTTGTAGACATGGAGTCACGTTATAAAAGAGTGTTTCATGAAAGAGTCAAATTTAACCTGGAAACTACGCTTATTTCCTCTAAATAATATCCACAAAAGTGAAAAAAAAATGAAGCTTTAGAAGGTTACTATAATTCAAGGTAGCTTATTAAAAGCATAGCATTCAATGAGAATTGCTAAGCTAAATCTTTTTGATTTGAATAAATCCCTGAGATTAGGGCCACAGAGACACTCTCCCACCTTCTTAACATGTTTGAGGAACACTTGAAGTATATTCCATTAGATCCTGTGTAGAGTATAAGGTGATGTATAGATAACAGATTCTTAGCTGCCCTGGACATTAGGAAAAAACTTTAGAAAGTTACAATGGGACCTGAAAGTACCCCGGCAATCTCTTAAAGGTGGTTTCCATGGTCTTATACCACAGAGACCAGGAGGGGATCCCATGGGAGAGCAGGATAAGAGAAATGTATACTCCTGGTTCCACCAATACCCCTGGAGGCTTCCCAAATGCTTTTCACTGCAGAAGCAATGAACACTTTTCCAAGGATTATCTAAAAGGACACCCAGAGGCATGTCCCATCTACCAAGAAGGTCACTGGAGATTTGACTGTTCTTACAGGCAAAGTACTTCAGGTCAGCCTAGGAAACTCCACAGGCTCAAGTGACACCTTGAAACAGCACCCAAGAGCCCCAGCCAGTTCCCACAGTGGAAGGAAGACTCAGTTTCCTTCTGGACACTGCCTTCTCTGTCCTAGCTAGCTTTGCCCCTCTTCCCTCCCCTACAGTGACCATCAGAGCATCTCAGGAGCCCCAAATTATCTCAGGTGACAGATAGAGACTAACCCAGAAGCTCAGAAAAAAAGCCTTTCTAGGGAAAAGTTAACTGGCCTGTAACTGCTCAGCCTGCACCACTGACCAGGCTCCCGACAGAGCATGTTTGCCATCTCACCCTTCAGTTCATGCTAGGTTTCACTGGGGTAGGACATCCTCACTGATCTGAGACCGGGTTGATGTCTTCCTCATTTACTAAATTACTGGGAATTTCTCCTCTACTTAAAACTCTTCTGTTCTACAATTGTCAATACATGGCTTGTTAGAACTATAGAACTAGCTAATTACTTGCCTTTGCCCTAAGGTGCAAATTTTGGAAAATTCTTGCTAGAATACTATAAACTACTGGGTTATAGTAACTCACAACTAGTTTAAATCTTTTGCCATCTACACTATGATCCAGATGAGTCTTGTAATGAAATGTTTTCAGTGTTGTGCTTTTTTTCCTAGGCTCAATGTCTTCCTGAGAAAGACATGGATGGACTTCAACATGAAGGAACACTAGGACCCAAAACAACATGCCAGGCACCTTTTATGACTTCTGTGTTCTATTGGGGACCTCTAGCTCACCCCCTGAAGGAACCCCTACTGCTGCTGTTACTCAACAACGCCCCTTTCAGCACGAAGTAACTACGGTAATTGTCACCCCATCACCCCTAACAGCAGTTAGGATTTCTTCTTCTGGCAGGAAAGAGGGAGGTGTGAGGAGTCAGATGGGACAGTAGGCAGCTAAGGTTTTCTGGTCCCTAGTTTTTTTTTTCTAAAATATAAAAATTTTATTTCTCCCCCATGTCTTAAATTCACCAAAGAATATTTCTCCCAAGAGACAAGGGCAAAATTAACATATCAACTCCCAAACTAAAGCACCTGCCCAATTCCATCTCTGGACCATTGTGGGAGGGGGGTAGTACTTGAATGATCAGTTTATCATCAGAAAGGGACTGAGGAAGTTAGCGTAGAACACCTTTCTGAGCTTTGTGTCTCAGCCAGGTACCATGGAAACCAGAATGTTTCCTTTGTTTTTGGAGAAATTCCTTTGAAATGAAGGTTTAAAAGACACCATCTTCACCTTTAACTCAGGTTCTTTTCCCTTCCTCTTGTCACTATGGAAGGAGGTCTGGGGTTTTTTCCTCAAGACACATGGAGCCCCCTCCTGTCACCATGGCAGGAGCCCTCTTTTTTCCTGAATAAATCCTGCTTTGCACTCAGTTTGAGTGCAAAAAAAAAAGCACAGCATTCATCAGGGATTTTTTCCATTTAATTTCAAACCATAATAATACTTCTAAATAAGCTGTTCTTGCATTAAATTTATTTTGATTTATTATTATAAATTAATAATCATTCTTAATCAAGAACCAATAGTAGTCAAACCATTTCTAAGGATTTACTGGCAGAGATTTTCAGGTAACTATTATCAACACAAGATAATGCAAATAATTTCAAAAATAGAAAGGGCAAAAAGTGGCTTGTAATTTAAAATTCAAAATTATATTATCGTAGAACATTACATTCAAAGGGTGGGTAGTGTTTAGTGTAATAGGAAATAAAAAGCAAACATAAAATGACATCACACACACATATTACTAAAAAAGGGTGATAGATTCAACAGGTTAAATTAAATTCTTTAGGATTTGATCATTACACATTGTATACAGGTATTCAAACATCACACAGTACCCATTAGTATGTGTCAAGTAGAAAAAAAATTAGGAATAGCAGTTAAGATGTCCACATTTGGAATTGGGGTATCTAAGCTGAAGTCTCAGCTCTGCTGCTGACTCTAGCCGCCTACCAACACACATTCTTGGGACCAACAGATGATGGCTGAAGCACTTGGGTCCTTGTCACTCATACCAAGAGATTAGGATTGAGTTTTCAATTCCTACCTATGCTTTGATCCAGATTCTGCATTTTGAGCATTTGGGGAGTAAAAAGTGGGAGGGAAAGAAGCTCTTGTGCTTGCTTTTTCCCTCAAATTGGCTAATTAGCCAATTGTTTTTACAAATTTCAAATAAATGAAATCTTTTAGGCTATATTTGTAACTTCATCTAGACAAATTATATCACTACAAAATATCACAGGGTCTGGACCCAAGGCATAGTAGGCTAATCCTCCACCTTACTGCACTAGCATCCCATATGGGTGCCGGTTCAAGTCCCAGCTGCTCCACTTTCAATCCAGCTCTCGGCTTATGGCCAAGGAAAGCAGTGGATGACAGTCCAAGGCCTTGGGTTCCAGCACCTGCTGGGAGACCTGGAAGAAGCTTCTATCTCCCAGCTTCAGATCAGCTTAGTTATGGCTGTTGCACTCATTTGGGAAGTGAATCAGTAGATGGAAGATATCTCTGTCTTTCCTTCTCCTACGTAACTCTGACTTTCAAATAAAATAAATGCTTTAAAAATAAAATTAAAATAACAAAAATGAAAAATATTTTAAAACTCATATGAAAACAAAAACTTGACCTCAATAAATTATATGCAAAATAAAGCAAGTCTAAATATTACTATGCAGGTTAGGCATATCACAATGGAAATATTTAACCTTATGTTTGTAATTGTTACAGTTTCAATACTTGCTATCTTAAATTCAGTCTTGGAGTAAAACATGCTCACCACTGAGCAACAAGAATGGAAACATCAAAATACCTTCCTTAAATACTTTGTTATTATCATCATAGTCACAGAATCTACAGCAAAAAGCCAAACTTCTTGTTGACTTCAGGATTGCTCAAACGTGATCAACTAGAGCCAGTAATCATAATCATATGTAATTATCACAAGCCCTAATGCATAGCCAAACACGTATCTAATATCCTTCAAAATTAGAAATCAACTCCATCAAGCAATCTAAGTTATAGGGCCTACGTGAAAAAATAAGGAACAAAATGTCTTCTTGCTTAAGTTCTTACATGTGAACTCAATTTCTCCCTACCTCATTTCCTTCTTCTCATCCTGCCATGTTTTCTTCTCTCCCCTTCAGGCCACTTTTTATCTATACACAGACTAGTTGAAAAACAGTGCGTGACTGCAAAGAGCTAATGCCAACTTAAGCATGATCAAGTTTATCCAAAAGTAGTCATTGTTTTTTCTGGGTTCACTTATAAATTCTGCTTCATTAAGCATTATCATTATAGCAAGACAGTTTTAATTATATGCCCACAGAGCACTGTATCCATTTCAAAACAGTTTAAATATACATGGATATTTTCTTCTAAAAACCCATTTCCTTACCTTATGTCTGCATTTAAGCACAACTCCATACGCTCCTATAATAAACAGAAGCAAACAGTCAGGGACAGCAATACAAACTATGGCTCTTGAAGCAATCAAACTTCCACTATATTCACAGTGATTCTTGGTACAGGTTATAATAGCAATTTCTAAAATGACAATATTTAATAGTGATTTTGCAATAATAATGAGCCATACAAATATAGGGCATGGATGTTTCATTATACATTGTTTAACAAATCAAGTGTGCAGAAAAAGCATTTCTCCAAACCAGTATTTTTAAATGTTTTCCTTTCCAAGGAAAATCTCACTTGACACATTTTAAATTCAGACTTAAAACATTTTTGGAGAAAAGCTATAGTCCTAAGAACTGAAAGTAAACGAAAATTAATTCAAAGACTGTAAGTAACTTAAACACCAATGACTTTCTAACAATAAGTTCAAGTGCAGCGCCTACCAAATATGCTATCTGTCCAACGAGACATGTAGCTCCCTCCCAGTGTACTGAAACATCTCCTCAGAGCAGCAAAACTGTACAAGTCTTAGCATTTCAATCCATAACTAACATGAGTCACTACTTTTCTGCCATAAATCAAGACTCAGGGCAAGGGGACAGAAGCCAAGAACTACCACTTACTCAGGTGTATTTCCATGATATTCGTCACTAGCTTTTGGGATGCCTACCCTATTTAGCTAGGAGAAACACTACTTCCATGGAGGGAGTACACAGAGCTGACAACAAAACACCTAGGAACCTGAGATTCCAGTTAAACTGAACAATCTAATTCAGACAATAAAAATATACTATATGGCCACCGAATTTTTTAGCATCAAGAACACAGACAGCAGACAGGCAAAGCCTACATGCAAATTCAAAAGAGATTTCATGGAGACAAAATGAGAAAAGGTGTTGCCCACACAAGTCTCCCTCACTTTAGCAGAGCCTTATGAATCTTATCATAGTTAGGATGGAATTAATCATTATAACCATCCAGCTTCCCTTCCCAATCCCCAGAGAACCAAGCAATCCTCAATTGCTCAGGCCAGCACCGTCTATAGGCAGCAGGAATTTAGAGTCTGCTGGAGAGACTTTTTTATACACTTCATACACATGCATTTTTTTAAATCTAATCAAGATCTGACGTGATTTACAAGGAAAAAGATATATAACCATGACAGTTCTGATTACAACTTCAAATATGAGGTCTCTCAAAAGTCCCTAGAAAATGTAAATTATGAGATAACTGTATCACCTTCCAAATTTCACAAAGTATACCTATCTTTTATTTTTAAGTAACCGCCAAACTGTTAACACCCAAAAACTTTGTTCAACCTGAGTCAATTCCTAACAAGATGTTAATTTAATAGCAAAATCTTAAATATCTTTGCCATTCACATAGGTAAATTTTCAAATTTCATTTGAAAATTATGAAACATTAAGTTTTATAACATTTGGTCCAAAGACATGAATGCGATTAAACCAAATTATAATTACCTACCCTTGTTACCAGAATCTTTTATCTCTACAAATTTTATCTCTACAAACTTATTTTACATCAAGAAAAATTGGTTAGAAGGAAAAATCAGGAAGAAATGTTTCTGAAAGTGATCTTTTGAAAAATGATTTGCCATATACCACCAAATCAACGATACTACTAGTTTTAAGAATTCTTTTGTATGCTATGAAAGAAATAACAGCTGCTGACAATGAACCCATGACATCCTGCTGATTAAAGGACTTATTCTCATTTTGGAGATATTAAAATAGGACTAAACTACATGCCTCAAAATTTATAATCTGCAGTTTTGTGTTCTCTTAAGAAACAGAAGTTGTTTATTCATTAATTTACCACATATTAAGTAAAACAATACAAATAAATGTTAGGCTATTCAAAAATAAGCCTAGCTAATATAAAAATAAAACATAACCAAAGAAAGCCTAAAGAAACCATGTCTGCTAAGAAAAAGAATGCAACTAATGCAGTGTAGAGAAATCCTTGATTTCTTAAACTTTAACTTAGCTGGCAAGTAAAATCCATATAGTCTAACAGTAATTTTTAATAATATTTTACTTTGATGCATATCTCAGTTGCTACAGGTTAGATTAAGGAGAACTAAATTAGAAGCATTTATTGCAGTAGGTATTAATGGTGCAATGCCCAAAAATTCAAGGAATGAAGAGGTGTCAACTTACCTTCACCTACAACCCCAAGGATCTCAAATTTATTCATCACATTACCAATGTTAGGAATCTTCATGAAGACAAACTCCTCTTTTGATAGAAGCCACACAACATGGCACCAAATTGTGCAGACAGAACAATTTCTAAAGGAATTCTGAATGGTTGGCAGGAACTTTCACATATTTGTTCTAGCAGTGAAGTATTAAATGATCCTCTGAAAGAACAAACACAATCACAACCATAAGTGTTACATTGCAGTATTCTAATAACCTATCTTACCTTTACATATAGTTCTTTTAAACCCATGCTCATGCTTCATGTGTTCCCCACCCCCAAGAAAAAAGTAACTGGAAAAGAAGAATCCAAAACGGAATGAATATAAACAAATGAAACTTACTCTACTTGAAATGAACTGAAGGATGAAGAATGAACTCCACTTAACTTTCAAATACAGCTTTTAACCACCTACCTTCCTCAAACTACAAAAAAAAAAAAAAAAAAGAAAAGAAATATAAACAAATACTGTGCTCTGTTTAGCTACTTGCTTTTACACAGTGGTATAAAGCTGACCTGTGCAGCTTCCAGGATTGAGCGAGTAAGTAAACACCAATATACTTATTGGAGATAAGGAGCTCTTGGTTCCTTATTCTCACAGAAGGGAATTATAGAGTGAAGTTTATAATATAATCTCAGTATTTAATACACTGATCCACACAAATAGATACAAATGTATGTATGTCTAAGTATGCCTACTCAGCAGATATTTATTCCCTAGCTCTGTGCACTACAGGCCTACCAAGTGACCACACCCTGACAAACTAGGAAAGCAGTGTGGCTCAAGTCCTTGGGCCACTGCACCCATGTGGGAGATCCTGAGGGGGTCTGGCGACTGGCTTACAGACAGCTCAGCTGAGTCACTCTGTATTTCTCTTTTTCCCATAAAAAAACAAATCATCTTTTAAAATGCTGAGCAACAGTATCAGATCAATAAAACTGAGAAATGATAGTTAAACACAATACAAGGGATTCCGAAAAAAAAAAAAAAAAGAAATGGAGGATATAAAAAAATTTAAATATCTGGATCCTGCAAAGTAGCCTAGTCGTTAAGTCTTTGCTTTGCATGTGCCAGGATCCCATATGGATGCAGAATCTGATCCTAGCTGCTCCACTTCCCATCCAGCTCCCTGTTTGTGGCTTAAGAAAGCAGTAGAAGACAGGCCAAAGCCTTGGGACCCTGCACCTGCATGGGAGACTCGGAAGAGGTTCCTGGCTCCTGGCTTTAGACTGACTCAGCTCCAGCTATTGCAGCCAGTTGATGAATGAACCAGCAGAACTGAAAATCTTTCTCCTCTGTAAATCTGACTTTCAAATAAAAATAAATAAATAGATACATAAATATGTTACTGTTAAAATTATCCACAGATTAGATATTGTATCAATAACTCTGATTTTGATAATAGTATCATGACTATATAAAAATAATTTTTTTTAAATAGCACTAGGGGCCACTGCTGTGGTATAGCAAGTTAAACCTCAACTTGCAATGTTAGCAGCCCATACAAGTAGGAATGCAGGTTCAAGTCTCAGATGCTCCACTTCCAATCTAGCTCTTGCTCATGTACCTGGGAAAGCAGCAGCAGATGGTCTAACTACTTGGACCCTGCCACCTATGCAGGAGACCAGGATGGAGTTCTTAGCACCTGGTTCTAGCCTCACCCAGCTCTGGCTGTTGTGGCCATTTGGTGAGTGAACCAGCATAGGAAATCTCTTTCTCTCTCTCTCCCCTTGTCTCCCTCCCTCTGTGTGTGTGTGTATAACTCTGCAAATCTCTTTATAAAAGAGACAGAGAGAGAGTGGAAATTCATTAAATATAAAGCATACAAACAACAAAGGGATCAAAAAAGCAGAGTTAGGTCTAAGAATCCAACATGGACATCAACAAGACGTCATCAATAAGAAAAAAAAAGATAATCTAGCTGAGCTAATGGATGATTTCAGCATTATGATGTCCTAAGCATAGAACAGACATTCCTGTTCAGACTTCCTTTTTCTTTTATAAAATAATTATTTATTTTATTTATTAGTTTATGTGAAAGTCAGAGAGAGATGTTCCAACATTGATTCATTCTCCAAATGTCTGCAACAGCTGGGGGCTATGTCAGACTGAATGCGGAAGCCTGAAACTCAACCCAGGCCTTCTACAAGGCTGACACAGATGCAAGCACTTGAGTATTGCCTGCTAGAGCAAGAAGTGTGAATCATTCATGGAGCCAGACGCTCCAGTACAGGCTGTAAGTATCCCTAGCAGTTTGAACTTTCACAATAAGCACCCCTCTCCAGGTCAGACTGCTGTTCCCACAGAACTGTGCATTTTGCATATTTTTTTTTTATTGGAAAGGCATATTTACAAAAAGAAGGAGAGACAGAGAAAGATCTTCCATCCACTGGTTCACTTCTCAAGCAGCTGCAACAGCCAGAACTGAGCCGATTTGAAGTCAGGAGATTCGTCTGGGTCTCCCAAGTAGGTGTAGTGTCCCAAGGCTTTAGGCCATCCTCGACTGATTTCCCAGGCCACAAGTAGGGTGCTGGATGGGAAGTGGAGCAGCCAGGATATGAACCAGCACCCACAAGGGATCCTGGCACATGCAAGGGAAGGGAAGACTTCAGCCACTAGGCTACCACAATGGGCCCAAATGTATTTCGTTTTAAGTGGCTAAGCTTAACAGCAATTTGTTAAACAGAGAATATAATTGCATCGTTTCATTTACATATGGTCTTAAAACAAGCAGAATGAAAACTATAAGCTACAAAAACATGTAAATGTAAGTGGTAAATCCATAAGAAAGTTACCAAATAACTGTTTATTGTAAAAACTGGAGTATTAATTATCTACAGGGAGAGGTTAAGATTGAGATGTAGCACAGGCTTTCTGGGACACTATTTCTATTTCTTGACTTGAGTGATAGTTAAACAGACATTCACTTATAATTATTCATTACACCAGGACACTTCAAAGGTCTAGGGAAAATATAATTAAAAGATAAACTTATTTTAGTGCAATGAATTTTAAAATCTATGCATTTAAAGGTCTTTGACAAGTTCACAGAGCTTGGGCACTTGGCCACATCCCACACTGCAGTGCCTAGTGTTCAATGGTTAGTCCTGGCTCCTGAATCCAGCTTCCTGTTAATGCAGACCACATACATGGAAGACCCAGATTGAGATCCTGGCTCCTAGCTCCGGCCCTGCCCTAGCCCCACAGTTGTAAACATCTGAGGAATGAACCAGTGGATCGGAGTTCTATGGGAGTTCTTGCTCTGTTTCTTTTTCTCTCTCTGTCTCTCTATCAAAGAAGTAACATTTATGAAGTTCATGGAAAATGCATATTGTAGAAAATCTATGCATGTATTTAAAGAATTTTTACAAAAAACTATTTACAAAACAAATTCATTGTTCAATTCCATTTTCTCACAAACTTTTTGATGTGCCCTCATACTTGTTTTATAAATTTCTATGTATGCCATTATAGTCTATATTAAGAAGTTTTTTTTTAAAGATATTTATTTTTATTTAAAAGGCAGATTTACAGAGATAAGGGGAGAAAGAGCCAGCCACATGACCAGAGCTGAACAGATACAAAGCTAGGAGCTTTCTCTGGGTCTCCCACACGGGCACAAGGAACACAAGGGTTTGAACCATCCTCCATGGCTTCCCTAGCCCATTAACCATGAGCTGGATCAGAAGTGGAGCAGCCAGGACACAAATCAGTGCCCATATGGGACATTACCACTGCACGCAGCAGATTAGTTTGATAAGCCACTGTGCTGACCCCTAAAACAAGTTTTCAAGAATGTAAAGTCTGGGATCAACAAAGTGGTATAGTTAACTAATCCACTGCCAGCAGCACCAGCATCCCACAAGGGTGCTGTTTCATGTCCCAAATGTTCGCTCAGATTCAGCTACCTGATTGTGCCCTAGGAAAAGTGGACGAGACCCAAGTCCTTGGAACTTTGCACCCACGTGGGAGACCCAAAAGAATCCTCTGACTCCAGGCTACTGGCTTCGGATCAATTTCAGCTGTTGTGGTCATTTTGGAAATGTACCAGTACATGGAAGACGTCTGTTTCTTCTTTCTATAAAATCTGTCTTCCAAATAAATATTTTTAAATGTGTATTCTAGTAACATCACATATAAATATATCATTGGACATTTACAGAGGTCAAAGATAAGAATAATTCACAAAATATTACTATAAACAAAAAAAGTAACCGTTCTTTCTCTCTGCAAGGCGCCAATCACACCATATATAGTGCCAAGTACCATAACAAAGCCAAAAACTCTTTAAGTGACAGTTACAGTGGACACTGATGACCCTTTTGAAGCCATTCCAGGTGAGGAACAGCAGGTGACAGAACTGAGTTCACCCTGAGAGATGACTGACATCCCAATGGCTGAAGGATCTGAGAAGACAGGAAGGTGAGCAGGTGATTTATTTCAGGAGGCATGACTAAGATCAGAGGAAGAAATGAAAAGGAGACAGATTTCAAGTCAGTAGCATCTATACAGTAATGAACTATCATTGGTTTTCTTTTTCACTCATCCTTCTATTTATCACATTTGTCAATAGGTCTGCCACTACTGTAGATGCCTCAGGATTCAATGGTGAACAACACAGACTTGGAATCTACTCTCATGGAGCTAAAGTGAAACAGGCAATAAACAAACATGAAGATCGCAGATAAGGACAAGCATTATAAAGAAACAACGCACAGTGCTGTGGAGGGGAGGTCTTCCAATGGGTGGTTTGAGAAAGACATGTACAAGGAGGCAGCATTACAGAGACCTGTTTCAGGTAGAGCAACATCCAAGGCAGTGAGCAGAGTCTCACAGAGCTGGACAAATTTAAGGAACAAAGAAGGCCTGTATATCTGAAGCAGAGTGGACAAAGAGGAGACTACCAGTGGCAGGAAAGCATGGCAAAAAGTAGTTTGTCCCTGGTAGAAGTGAGTCTTATATTAAACTGGATGTACTCTAAGGCATCCTCCTTAAAAGTCATTTGAGCTTGTCATTACTAGCCATTAACTTCATAAACAAATAACAAAATACATTTTAAAGTGTATTTGTCTCACTCTAAGAAATACATCTAGAATTAAGCAATCATGCCTGCATTGTCAAGTAAGCAAGTACCTAAAAGAACTGACAGGAATATAAGG